CGGGGTTTCACCATGTTGACCAGGATGGTCTCGATCTCTTGACCTCGTGATCCACCCGCCTCGGCCTCCCAAAGTGCTGGGATTACAGGCTTGAGCCACCGCGCCCGGCCTGGTACCAGTTTTTTTATCATCTTTGTCCAGAATCTGGGTTGGGATACTGGAGTCTCTTGGAAACTGAAGTTTAGGGAAATGGGTTCCTCATATATTCTCCCTTGCTATTTGAAATTGATGTGGGCAAATCACTTAACCTTTATTGGGCCTAAGTTTCTAGGGCTGTAAAATGAAAGAACTGAATCTAATCCCCTTTTCTGGTATAAAATCAGATGATTCTGTGATCTGAATGGCCTCAGCACTTCTTAACCACTCACTCCCCTATCCACAGTTCAGAACTACTGATTCTCCACTTACCCTTCAACTCTGTTTCTCCTTCCAGTTACCCAAAGTTAGACACACCCCACACTCACCAGTAGAAAATATGGGCTCTAGGAGAATCTGTGAAACCTATCATTCTTGTCTTCAGTTGTCTCACCGCATTTTTAGTGTTTTCCTTGGATGTCTGGTTATTTGTGTGTTCTTTAAGTGGATGTTTAGGTCCCACCACTCAGCTCTGCACTCCGCAGAGAGTACCCTGGACTTTGAACTCCTCTTATGAAACATGGGGATTAGAGTGACAATCTTACAGGATTGTGTTGTAAAATAAAGCTCTATTGCAGGGCCTGGCATATGGAACATTCTCAGTAAGAGTTAAGTATTGTTGTTATTATTACAAAGCATCTTTTTTCCTTCTTTCCTTTTTTTTTTTTTTTGTTTGAGACGGGGTTTCACCATGTTGGTCAGACTGGTCTCAAACTCCTGACCTCAGGTAATCCACCTGCCTCGGCCTCCCAAAGTACTGGGATTACAGGTGTGAGCCACTATGCCCGGCCATTTTTTTTTTTTTTTTTTTTAAGACAGGGTCTCAATCTGTCACCCAGGCTGGAGTTCAGTTGGTAGCTCACTGTAGCCTCAAACTCCTAGGCTCAAGAGAGTCTCCCGCTTCAGCCTCCTGAGTAGCTGGGGCTACAGGTTCACACCACTGTGCCTAACTAATTAAAAAAAATCTTTTTAGAGATAGGGTGTTTTTATTTCCTTTTCATTAATGTGAGATGGGGTCTCGCTATGTGGACCAGGCTGGTCTCGAATTCCTGGCCGCAAGCAATCCTCCCATCTCAGTCTCCGGAAGTGCTGAGATTACAGGTGTGAGCCACCATGACTGGCCAAGATAGGGTCTTGCTATGTTGCCCTTGTTGGTCTTGAACTTCTGGCCTCAAGTGACCCTTCCACTGCGCCTGGTTCCTATATTTTACTTTCTTTTCTTGTGCCCTAATCATTGCACTGTCTTGTAGCCATGCTTCTTCTATGCAATCCATTCTGTACTCTACCATTAACTGTATCATTTTCATCCACTCCTCCTCCCAGTTTAAAAGCCATTAATGATTTCTTATCACCTATAGGATAGAGTTCAAACTGCTTAGCCTGGCACTCAAAGCCCTCCACAATCTCGTTCCTTTTTAGCCACCTCTTCTGTAATGTTTTTAAAAGCACATAAGCATCTGGGTTTATGCAGTGGCTTGGCTCATGCCTATAATTCCAGTGCTTTGGGACACTGAGGCAGGAGGATCATTTGAGCCCAGGAGTTCAAGATCAGCCTGGGCAATATAACAACACCCCACCGTCTCTACAAAATATAAAAACTAAAAAATTAGCCAGGTATGGTGATGCATGCCTGTAGTCCCAGCTACTCAGAAGGCTAAGGTGGGAGGATTATTTGAGCAAGAGAGGTTGAGGCTGCAGTGAGCTGTGATCAAGCCATTGCACCCCAGCCTGGGCAACAGAGTGAGACTCTGTCTCTAAAAAAAGGAAATCACCTAAGAGACTTTTAGATAACCAGAAACTCCAAAGGAATCAATAGAGCAATAGAACATTGTGGTAGCCAGAAAACCTGATATGCCTAAAGCAGCATTAATAGAAGACCAAAGTGATAAACAAGAATATTGATTATTCCATTGAAGTCTATTCTAGTCAGCTCATGACTGGAATAATAATTTTAGGTCTAGAGGTTAAATGTCAAGTTATGTTGTCAAAAGACACTATGTTAAAAATAAAGTTATCTGGGTAATATGTGATGTGGAAAGTGCTGTATGATATGGTTGAAAGAACAAGACATGGCTGAGTGTGGTGGCTCACCTGTAACCCCAACATGTTGGGAGGCTGAGGGGGGCAGATTGCTTGAGGCCAAAAGTTCAAGACTAGCCTGGGCAACATGGTGAAACCCAGTCTCTACAAAAAATTAGCCAGGTGTGGTGGCATGTGCCTGTAGTGTCAGCTACTCAAGAGGTGGAGGTGAGGGGATTGCTTGAGCCCGGGAGGAGGAGGTTGCAGTGAGGGGAGATGACACCACTGCACACTCAGCCTGGGTGTATGTGCAAACAAAAAACAAACAAAACAACAAAACAAAAGCAAAAAACAAAACTAGGCACGGTTAGCTGGGAAAGGGAAGCCTCATGAAGACATGATGGTTTATCTTTAAACATCAGAAGGACTTTCAAGTGAAAAAAACAATTGCATCTGTTTTCCAGAGAAGTTAGTGAAATGCAGATTTTGATTCAACAAAAGGAAGAATTTATAACGGTTAAGTCAGTTAAGTCCAAAAGATTCAACAAAAGGAAGAAGAATTTATAACGGTTAAGTCAGTTAAGTCCAAAAAAAAAAAGAAGGGCCAGTTGCAGTGGCTCACACCTGTAATCCCAGCACTGTGGCAGGCCAAGGCTTGAGGATTGATTGAGTCCAGGAGTTCAAGACAACCTGGACAACAAAGCGAGAACTTGTCTCTACAAAAGCAAAATATTAGCTGGGTATAGTGGCACACACCTGTAGTCCCAGCTACTCAGGAGGCTGAGGTGGGAGGATTGCTTGAGCAAGGGAGGTTGAGGCTGTAGTGAGCCATGATCATGCCACTGCACTTCGGCCTGAGCAACAGAACAAGACCCTGTCTAAAAAAGAAAAGAAAGAATGTGAAACAGACTACTATAGGAAGTTCTAAGTAGTCTGTCATTCAGAATGTCCCAGAAGAAATTGATTAATAACTTTAAACGAATTTGAATGGAGTGGGTATTTGGACTAAATCAGAAGTTTTCAATTTTTTTCTAGCTAAGAAATCCTTTCCCTTAAATAAAGCTCAATTGCAAAACATATCAATGTGAAGTTATTCAGGTTGAAGTCTAAGTAGAATATTTTCTTATTCTTTTTCTTCTCAACTAGATTCCAGAAAGTTGACAATAAAAGCTAATAGTTTTTATAATTTATATTTACAATGTATATCCCCCATGGTGTATTATGTGAGGTTTGATAAATATTTATTGAATGAATGAACAATTAAATATGTCAAAAGTTATTTCTCTGGGGCATGCTTTCATTTTTAATAGACAGCAATCTTTTAACCAAAAATCAAATTCCTCAAATGAGGTCTGTTATCCTGGAGTTCCAGATTCCTAAAAGGGGTATATGAATGGGTCTCAAGAGTTGTGGGAACCTATTCAAATTGTATTGCCAAATTTGGGAGCATGTGTATCTTCATGGTAAGAGCAGCTATAGCTTTTGTCAGATTTTCAGATGTGTCTATAACCCCCAAAAGTTAAGAAACAACTACTTTATTTTAATTGAATTGAATTGAATTTTTTTATGCAGGATCTCACTCTGTCACCCAGGCTGGAGTGCAGTAACATGATCTCAGCTCACTGCAGCTTCAACCTCCCTGGCTCATCCTCCCACCTCAGCCTCCAGAGTAGCTGGGACTACAGGCATGCACCACCAGACCTGGATAATTATCATTTTTTGTAGAGACAAGGTTTCACTCTGTTGCCCAGGCTGGTCTCAAACTCTTGAGCTCAAGTGATCCTCCCGCCTTGACCTCCCAAAGTACTGGGATTACAGGTGTGAGCCACTGCACGCAGCCAAAGAACAATTACTTTTATGGAAGAATTATAGGTATCTATCACAGCCTGATAAAATATGATTTGGAGGCAGGAAGTTCTTTTGAATACCCCCCAAATTATGTACCTGCATGTTCTCTTGATTGAAGAGAATAACTGAGGGGACAGACCCTCAGGCTTTCCTGAATACATCATACCCCCCAGAGGATGCGAAGGTAATGGAGTTCCATGATAATGGAAGAGGCTTCTGTGTCTGTGCCCCAGTGTATGCGTACTCAGGCTCTCAAAATCAGTGACCATTTCGGTGGACAGACCTTAGTAAATGAAAACAAAGTATTTACTCCAGGGCTTTAGGCAACTCTCACCAGCCGAAAACCATTTTCCCAGCCCCTACCCAAAAAGGGCCAGACAGTCTGGAGACCCCTGTTTTTGTGTCACTAATCACCAGCTCAGACAGTGCCCTCTGGACTGTTTGGATGGCATATCCCTTTTCCCTCCCAGGATCACTCTCTCTTTTGTTGCATTGTGAGAAAATTATGGCTAGGAATTTGATCTGGAGCCAGAGTCAGCTTCCGGGTGTGATCTCAGCATTCAAGTGCGAGCTCAGGGTGCAATGACGTTGGGTACATCAAACTGAGGAGCTTTTTGTCTAGCTGGCTGTGACCTCCTCCCTCCCTCCCCATCCCAGCTTCCCAGCCACAGAATAGGGAGCAGCACAAACAAGGCCCTGAGATTTGGGTTTATTCACCTCCACCCAAAACTAAACCAAGGCTATGACATGTCCCATGGGACCAAACCATACATTGGGTACCATGCACCTTTCCCTTCAGGATGCTGCTACCTCTAGAGTGGTGGGCAGCTGCCCATATCAACGTGGGAGGTAGAGAGGGATTTGCTGGTGCTGGGTCTGTGGCAATCAGGGCTCAACTCTGGCTGCCTCCTCCTCTTCCTCTGGATCAGGAGGCGCAGGGAGCAGGGAGATGTAGACCTCATTGACCTCTGTGTCCAAATGTCGGCCACCCCGAGGCGCTTCCAGGTTTAAGATGCCATCATGGGAGAGAGCAGCTCTGACCCGCCAGGGGTCTACATCAGCAGGCAGGACATAGGTGCGGCAGAACTCTCGGGACACGAAGCCGTGGCGGTCCAGGCGCTGGGGGTGCCGGGCAGACACCTCCAGCAGGTTATCTACAGTCCTCACAGTTACCTCGTCTGGGGTAAAGTGGCTCACATCCAGAAATGCCTGGAACTTGCCCTCACTGAGCCTAAGCTCGGAGGCCCCTGCCCTGCTGCCCTCCCCAGCTGGGGCAGCGCGAGGCCGGACATAGTAGCCATGGTAGAGTGTGGGGGTCAGGATCTCTTCCGGCAGGAGGCCTAGGGGGCAGAGAGAAGGCAAGAGGCAGGATGAGGGAGGATGAGGTGGGCACAGGGGCGAAATGGGAAATCTGGAGAGGAGGGATTGGGAAGAGCAGGAGGGGAGTCAGTAGGAGTAGGGAAGGGAACGGGAGGGGGGCCACACAGGAGCTAGGAGGAGAAGGTAGCTAGGAAGAGGGGAAAGGGGAAAGGAAAGGGGGAAAAGGAGGGGGAGGAGGGAGAGGAAGAGGAGGCACCAAACTGGGCCTGGGTGGATAGAAGGAGGACAAGGAGGCACACTAAGGCAGCAAAGGGCAGGTATCAGCACTGCAGGCACCAAGTCTGTCTTGAGGTCAGCAGGAATGGGAAAGAGCCCTGCTTGTACGGGATGAGGGGGAGTCTGGGGTGGGGGGTGACTGGCTTCAGGAGATCAGTTAAGCCAAGTGGGGTGGAAGCCAGTAACGCTGGGAGGTCAGCCCAGAATTTCGGGGGGGGGGTGGGAGGCAAGGGGGTGGCGTCTGTGCCATACCTTCTCCAAAGCGCTGCTCACCCAGGCGGCTCGGGTTGGCAAATTCGTACTCGGCGGTGGCTGGGTGGGCATGTGGCACTGAGCGGCCCGACATGGCTGCAGACGCAGCGGAAGCCCTGGTCCGAGGTGCAGCCCCAACAGACACAGCGCGACCCCTCCAGCTGCCGGGAGAGCTAGGGCTCAATAGGAGGTGGGGGCGGGGTCGACACCACCCAAAATAGTGCCGAGCCTCTGCGGGGGAGGGGCGGGGAGTGGGGGCCCTGAGTGCGCGCAACAAGGATGTGACCGGTGCCGCCCGGACCCCTAGTCCCCTCCCCCGCACACTTCAGCTGTTGCGGGGGGGTCTGAGAGGACAGCTGAGGGTCCTGGTTGGGAACGAGCTGGGGAAGGGGAGCTAATGGTGTCTAGGGCATGAAGAGGCCTCGCTGAGACCCTCATGAACGGTTTGCACGTTTCCACAGCACATTTTCTCCTCCTTAGTGGCAGGCACTGTGCACCCAATTCCTAAAGCTCTCCTGGATTTAATTAATGTTCTGAGAGCCACATAGGACGAAAGATGCAAGAAATCTTTTTGCTCTTTCTTCAGGGGGTGGGGTCTTTCTGCCCAGATGTCAGGGTCCTCCCCTGAACCCAGGTCAACCCAGGGCACGAGGCAGATGGCTGGTACTGACATGTTGACCATCACTGCTCTCTTCCAAGGACTCACAAAGAGTTAATGTCCCTGGGGCCCAGCCTAGGAAGATTCCAGTCCCTGCCCAGGCCCAAGATAGTTGCTGGCCTGATTCCCCTGGCATGCAGGACTGGAGAGGAGGAGGAGGGGCACATCCCCCTATGCCTGCTTGGGATTCCTGACTCTGTCCCAGCTTCAGAGAACAGGGGTGGGAGTGGGTGCCCATTGGGTGTGGACAGAAAGCTAGTGAAACAAGACCATGACAAGTCACTGGCCAGCTCAGATGTGTTTGTGTTTCTCTTTTCTTAGCTCAGTGAGTATTGGGTATGTGTCACACTGCCAAATCCCCGATCACAAGTCTCCATGAACCAGCAGTGAGCTAGGATAATAAAACCCCTGACATCACCATTCCAGAAGCTTCACAAGACTGCATATATAAGGGGCTGGCTGTAGCTGCAGCTGAAGGAGCTGACCAGCCAGCTGACCCCCAACACTCACCTAGCCACCATGGACATCGCCATCCACCACCCCTGGATCCGCCGCCCCTTCTTTCCTTTCCACTCCCCCAGCCGACTCTTTGACCAGTTCTTCGGAGAGCACCTGTTGGAGTCTGATCTTTTCCCAACATCTACTTCCCTGAGCCCCTTCTACCTTCGGCCACCCTCCTTCCTGCGGGCACCAAGCTGGTTTGACACTGGACTCTCAGAGGTGAGTCTTCCCCTACCAGGATGGGGGAGCCCTTTCTGGAACATCCTGGAAACTTCTCCATCCATTTTTCTTTCCTTCCCTGCCTAAACAATTTTAGGCACATGTGTGTCCAAAAGGGAAGAAAAATGAGGTTGCTAGTGCCTCCCTCCCCTGTCACCTATTTCTATTTGATGGTCCTCTGTATCCCATTTATTACATTTTTTTATTCACTGTCAAGTTCATCCTCTGTCCCCTAACTTCTCTCTGCAGGATACCCCTTTCTAGTTTGGTTCATAATGATCTGCAGGGAAAGAGCTGCCTTCAAACTCCTTTGCTCATCTCTTCTAACACCTCAGGCTCTTGACCAATTTTACCATCTCAGGTTTCAGAGCCAGGAGAGAGCCCTGCCTCATCCTGAGCTGTTCATCCCCACTGGGTGGAGCTGGGGCCAACCACCACTATTCTCTGCCTTTCTATTCTTCCTTCTTCTATGATTTTCTGGCTTCCTCAAGGTTGTGACAGAGCGCTGGCCTGGGTCCAACCAAGCCTTATGAGGAAACAATATAGGTCTAGTCTTGGGACCCCCCACTTGTCCTAAGAGGGTGGGAGAAAATGGTGAACAAATAAGGTTGACAGAAGCTGTCACAGATAACACTCTGGTTTAAAAATATTCGAGTGTGAGTAAACAGGACCTGAGTGGGCAAGGGCTTTGGAAGGACAAGCAGGAGCAGCAGAACATTCCAGATTGGGTGGGTGGAAAACTGGCAAAGAGACCTGAGCAAGAAGAATAGAGGCCTTTGTCTCACAGACAAACCACAAAGCCAGGCATTGGATTCAGAGAGGCAGCAGATGCCAGGCCTGCACCCATCTTTGTGACTGGTCCCCTGGGTGATCTGTCTTCTTCACTGTCCCTGTAAATAAAGTTTAGGTCTGATCACCACAAGCCTTAGGTATCACTGTAGTGGCTCCCTGAAGCAGAGAGCCATGTTTATTTTAAAAGGGGATTTTCTTTAAGCAGAAAAAAGAATGATGAATTACCTGGACAGAAAGCAACTCTGCAGAATGGTAAGACAACACCAGTGTAATCGGTATTTTTGCCATCTTTTCCCAACCCCATTCCCTTACCTTGCTATTTCTAGATGCGCCTGGAGAAGGACAGGTTCTCTGTCAACCTGGATGTGAAGCACTTCTCCCCAGAGGAACTCAAAGTTAAGGTGCTGGGAGATGTGATTGAGGTGCATGGCAAACATGAAGAGCGCCAGGTATGTAGCCTGTTTTTGGTTTTTGTTTTTATTTTCTGCTCATTCATTCAGTGAATACTGTAATAGACTAGATAGTGCTATCAGCTTCGGAGGCTGGCTACATTCCAGTCCCAAGCCATAATGGTCTGGATCAGGGGTTACAAATCAACGTCTGGAAGACTAAGTTAGGGATCGACCTATTGCTGTCATTACTGTTGTTATGGCCAGAGATGTGGCTTTTGTTTTATTTGATCACCTTAGATGGGATGATGGGATGCTGATGCCCTGTTTAAGCCAGTGGTTCTGAATCTTGGCCACATTAGAATCACCAGGGGAACTTTCAAAAATCCTAATGCTCAGGCATACCCCAGACCAATTCAATCAGAATTTTTAGGGATGGGACCCAAGCACCAGCATTTTTTAAGGTAATTCTAATCTACAGTCAAGGTTGAGAACCACTGATTTAGGTATAGGGTTGCAAGGCACCTAGTTGCTTTGCATAATTACATTAACTACATGTACCCTGAAGGCACTTGAGTTGTGACTTCTCTTTACTTGTGCAAGAATCCATGTTTCATCTTTAGTCCATCTTAATGCTGAACTACTTGGTTTGTCTAAATTTCAGAGCTGTGCTCAGTCTTTAGTCCCCCTATAGCCTATGTGGAAATCAGTTAATGAGAGCCTGTTTGGTTACATGCTTGAGAGTCAGGAGGCATACGGGTTAAGGTCATCTACCCTTTGGGGGAATTCTGACGAATGGAACAGCTTCTCATGACTTTGTAAGAGGGCTTTAAAATTGCTTCTTACCAATTAATGATAGCTCAGAACCTGTGCATCAACTAGTACAGTTTGTCCTTAGTAACGTCCTCGAGCTGTTTCAATTTTGCTCACATGATTTAGGTTTGGGTTATAGTCTCCTTGAATGGAGTCATTTTTTTTTCTTTTTTTTTTTTAGCAGCAGTCTTATTGTTCTGGAACATTCTGGGACATTCCTGAAGAGTCAGGACAATTTCCAGGCTTCCTCAGGGACTCAGATTCTAAATGAGATTCCAAATTCTGTAGGCCCAGCCAACATTGATCTAAACCTTTGGGAAATACCCCTAAACATATCTATGCCTCAGGGTTTGAAAAACAATGATGTGTTGGGCTGTTTCAGACTTCTCAGATTCTCACTGGTAGGAATGACTACCTAGGCAACTTCATCTTAGCTCCAAACCTGAAACAAAGAATTATTTATTCTTCCTATGTTGTCATGGCATTTGGTCTCACCTAAGGGGAAATCAGGATGCCTGAGTTCTGGACAGGTGATAATATTTCCTGTTTTTATCTCTCTGCCTCTTTCCTCATTCTCTTGGGTTAGGATGAACATGGTTTCATCTCCAGGGAGTTCCACAGGAAATATCGGGTCCCAGCTGATGTGGACCCTCTCGCCATTACTTCATCCCTGTCATCTGATGGGGTCCTCACTGTGAATGGACCAAGGAAACAGGTCTCTGGCCCTGAGCGCACCATTCCCATCACCCGTGAAGAGAAGCCTGCTGTCACTGCAGCTCCCAAGAAATAGACGCCCTTTCTCGAGCTGCATTTTTTAAAACAAGAAAGTTTCCCCACCAGTGAATGAAAGTCTTGTGACTAGTGCTGAAGCTTATTAATGCTAAGGGCAGGCCCAAATTATCAAGCTAATAAAATATCATTCAGCAACAGATAACTGTCTTGAGTTTGAATATTCCACACGCTTTTAAATAAATGTACAAATGCCACAGATCCATTTATGATTGCATAATGATTTAGAGGGCGCCAGGGATTTTAGAGTCAGAATGACTGGCTTCACCATTTACTAATGGTATAAATTTAGGCAAGTTGCTTAACCTTTCTGGTCTTCAGGTTTTCCATTTATAACGTGGGTTACTGAGTTGTGCAGAGCTATTGCAGGAAGTAAATTAAGGAGAAGAAGCAGAAAAAGCCCCTGGAAGACTTCAAGGAATATTAGTTACTTTCTCTCTGTCCTCTTTGATTTTAGCCCTCAGTTTAAAGGACTGGAACAAATCTGAATGAACTCTGGATAATGCTATTTAAAAGCCCTTACTGCATCTCTAAAATTAATTACATCACCAGGGAAGACATGGTGACCCTAATATTGTTTGACATTTTCCTATTGCTAAGCATTGCCTTCAGCTGATTTACAGGGGCAATAAATAGGACTTGGGTAATTATAACCTAACAAGCTCTGAGGTATAGTCTAAATCAGTGGCCCCCAACCTTTTTGGCACCAGGGACTGGTTTTATGGAAGACAATTTTTCCGTGGCCCCGGGGGAACAGAGGATGGTTTCAGGATGATTCAAACATTAGATTCTCACAAAGAATGCACAACCTAGATCTCTCACATGTGCAGTTCACAGTAGGATTCTGCTTATATGAGAATTTAATGCCACCATTGATCTGAGAGGAGGCAGATCTCAGGTTCACTCACCTCCTACTGTGCAGCCTGGTTCCTAATAGACCACAGCCGTAGTTCCTAATGGTCTCTATGGCCTGGGGGGTGGGATCCCTAGTGTAAATTATCTAGCAAACACCTACTAACCTAAGGCCAGGAAATATCCAATTCAATGACCTACCACATAATACTTAAGTTTTAGAATTACAATTAATAACTGATCAATAAGTGGTTCTATTATTTAGCTTAAAGACATACCACTGTATAAAAAAAAATCACCCCCCCCCTTTAACAAAAAGCAACCCTCCATTTCTTCTCTGTGGGTCTGGACAAAACTTCTGATTCACTTGATAAACAGCACTGCTGTAGGTGATCTGGTATAAATATTTATTGACAACTCTTATTTTTTCTTTAGCAGCTTCCAGCTAATTTTTCATTTCTTGCAGAATCAGAAATGAGTCAGTTTGGGGCACTGACCAGGGTTTTGAAATATTCTACATGAAACAATTACTCCAAATGTTTTTATGGCATAGAGGGAAACAACACATACTGGGGCCTATCAGAGGGTGAAAGGTGAGAGAAGGGCAAGAATTGGGAAAAATACCTAATGGATAGTAGGCTTAATACCTGGGTTATGAAACAATCTGTATAACAAACCCCATGACACATGTTTACACATGTGACAAAATGAAGGAAAAAAAGTCACAATGAGATACCACTGCGCCCCTATTAGAATGATTAAAATGAAAAATTGACTATA